CATAGTTGAATCTTCCATCAAAATGCTAACAAGAACTTTTCATTACTTGAATGGATTGCCTAATTTAAACTCAATTCAAGAACAAAAAGTCTACATACACCAACTAAGAAGCTAAACTCCGTTTGATAACTATTTGGTTTATGAAAATGGCGTGTTTTCTCGTCAATTCTCTACGATGAATCTAAACTCTCTTACGAAAATATTGAAAATCTTTTGAGCAAGCAACTCCTCGTTCCGAAGAAGAGTGCCACCCCTCAAGGCGTTTAGGTGAGCCAAATTCCAAAAACGAAGATAAAGTTCTTAGAAACTAGTATTCAAAACTTGGATAGAACAAGAAAAAATTTGAAAAGTTTGAAGCTAAGAACAATCCAAATCTAACCGAGACTCTTCAGTGGGAATCCAATTCCAGTATCTTCTGTCATCAATTCCAGTAATAGCCATGGCCTTAGCTGATATCGACATGCAAATCCTTCCAGTGATTCTATCCAGCCACACCTCCTGAAAAATGGTTCAAAATTCCATGAACAAACATAGCTTCCTCCACAAATTAGAACTCCCAAATTCACAAAAGAATCAAACATCAAAACCCTAACAAATAAATTTCAACCCAGAAAAGAAATAGCAAAAACGAAACGAAATGCGGCGATAGGGAAGTCGACGAACCACCTTATTTCCACCATCGAATGGAACTGGACGAGATAGCAGAGCATAGATATCCTTTTTGGACAGATTTTGGTACCGTTCGGGGGGCAAAAAATCGAGAAGATCTTGATAATTCGAGGGCAATTTCGATTCCCAAACGGCATCCGATGAAGCGGCGCCGCGAAACGCCCTGTTTAGCCGAGCGAGGTTACAAATCTCCGGCGGAGTAAGGTAAAGAAAAACACAGGCGACACAACTCTCCGGTATGTCGCCGAGGCCAGGACCGATGGTGGAGCCATTGGTCACTTCACTCAAGTTCGAGAGCGAAGCTCCCATCGCCGCCGATTCCGAAATCAAAACCTCAAAATTCAGCAGTTTCTACAGGTCATCGCATCATCATCATCACCGGCACAAAAAACATTCAAGATTGGATTAAAAATAATAACAAAAAACAAAATCAAAACCACGACCCTCGTCCGGCGGTTTCAGGTCCTTGAAATCCGGACACGGATTTCGATGAAAACCCACAAAACAAATACAAATTCGAAAGCGAACTTTTGCCTTTTCCGGACAGGAAAGTGAGGGAAAAGCAAATGGAGGCAAAAGGGTATGGCGAGCTACAAAAAGCAACACAGAAACGAAACCAAACGAAACCAAACGAAACCAAACAAGTCAAATTAGGATAAAGAAACCACCGAATCGAAGAATTTGGAGCTCATCCAAGGGCTCACGCAGATGGGTTCGGTGCGACAAGTGGGCACGGAAATGGGCCGTGAGAAATTCAGAACAGGGCAGGGAAATGGTCGTGGAAGGAGAGGAGTGGTGGGCGGTTGAAATTTACAGCGTTGGGATGAGTTTTGTTTATTTCCTTTTCCCTTTTGGTTTCAGCCATTGGAGAACTTGGAAGCCCCACTGCGACACTAACTACGGATCGTGGAGGACGGGCTTTGAGATCTCTCGCCTCGTTAATGGGTTATCAAGTTCTATGACGTAACGCCGAAGGAGACACCTTTTCTTATTCTACTTTTTTTGGTTTACACATTTTGAGGACGTTATGATTTTGTGATATCAGTAGCATATGGTGGATGTGATATATGATTCAAAAGGGTTTTTTTAAATGTATGTTCGAATATCTAACCACGTGGTTGAACGTATATGTGAGATTACATGTCGGTTTTCAAGGAAAATGAAGCATTTTTTTATAACTGTGTTGAAACCATTTCCTAGCGGGTATGTTTAAAAACCTTGAGGGAATATCTACTGTGGGTTTGGGTCGTTACAAATGGTATTAGAGCTAAATACTGAGCGGTGTACTAGTGAGGACGTTGGGGCCAAAGGGGTGAATTGTGAGATCCTATGTTGGTGGGAGAGGGGAAGCCCGAAAAGGAAAGCCTAAAGAAGACAATATATACTAGCAGTGGGCATGGGCGCGTTACAAATGGTATCAGAGCCAAACACTAAGTAGTGTGCCAGTGAGGCGTTGTGGCCAAGGAGGTGGATTGTGAGATCCTATGTTGGTCGGAGAGGGGAAGCTCGGAAATGAAAGCCTAAAAAAAATAATATATACTAGCGGTGATCTTGGGGGCGATACAAATGGTGTTAGAGCAAGACACTGAACGATGTGCCAACAAGGACGTTGGGGTCAAGGGACTGGATTGTGAGATCTCACGTAGAGAGTAGAACTCATTCTCAATTCACAATTTAAACATAGTTCAATTGATAAGATATTAACTACATCCGATAGAGGCTCACGGGCTATCTTTCTTCATATAAATAGTCATTCACCGTAAATTTAGTCTCTATGTTAGGCCTTCTAACCTAACCGCTTAAATTTTGTATAGTCTAGGGATGATACACCTAATAACGCCTTTAAATACCTTATTCTTATTTCATAAATATATATTTTTTTAAAAATTCTCCTAAAATTTATTATTGAAAAATAGTGATATATTTGAATTTTCGGTATTATTAACCACGTGAATATATTTAAACAAATCAAACAAGACTTTATCAAAATTAATTAAAATAGTGTAAAATGTCGGGTTAATTGATTGATGTGACGATCCAAATTAATCTTTGGCGTCTCATCAAAAATTCACGTGTAATATTATTTCCTTAAAAAATATATTTTTTCAAAAAATTATGGGAAATATATCAACATGATGAGATATTTGTGATGGAAGGCACAATTATTAGCTTATTTTGAAAATAAATTTATGTCTTTAATTTTAAAATTATGATTAAATTGTCTAGAAAATAATATCAATCTCCATTTATTTTTATTTTTTATTTTTGAAGGAGTGAATCTTGAATTATAAAAATTGTGGAAATATTACTAATTTAAAATTTTAAAATGGTTATAGATAAATTGTGAATGAAAATATAATTATATTATTATTATTATTATTATTATTTAGTTTAACCATTTATCTAATTTGTTGTTAAAGAAAGTATATTTGGTTTTGGGTTTTGGGCCTAACAGTGTCGGCCCAAAATGAATGTGGATTACTTCAAGCGGCCCAATTTTATTTTATTTTTTATAATCTCCCAAACAAAAAGGTTATGGCAAATATAAATTATAAAACAAAAATTAAATTTATATTATATATATATATATATATTGGTTATTTTTCTTCATCATTGTGTTTTATTGTTGAACCTTACCTAAATGCATCCATGACGTGGAGAGGCACAAAAGAAAGTTGGAAGTTGATCGAGAATGTTCGGCTATGGTAAAAACTTATAAACGGTGGTAGAAAGTGATATTTGGGACCATTTATTTTACCGTAGTAAATATTTCTCTATGGAGGGAAGTCTTTGGCTGCACGTTTGATGTTGATGGCTTCTTGTGCTCGATTTTGTACGTTATGGTCGGTGTGTAGTTGAAAGACTAATAGGCTACATTTTCAATTGTTACGGTGAGACCTCACATCGGTTGAAGAGGGGAACAAAATATTTCTTACAAAGACGTGGAAACCTCTCTCTAATAGACATGTTTTAAAACTTTGAAGGAAAGCTCGAAAGGAAAAATCCAAAGCAGACAACATTTGCTAAACTGGGCAGTGTGTCAATAAGGACGTTGAGTTCCCATGGAGGGTGGATTATGAGATCATGCATTGATTAAAGGGGAGAACGAAACATTTCTTATAAGGGTGTGGTTGAAAATATACATACAATTGGAGAGAAGATGATATGAACCAAGAGACATCAATCATACAATATACTTCAACGAAGATGTGAAGAAAATATTGTTGAAATAATCAAAAGATATTTTAATTCATGCCACGTTGAAGAAGAATGAAGTTTCATGTTATAAATTTGAGTGGATTATAATTTAGAGTAATTTAGAGTTATTGTATTTCATTAATATATTTTAAGACTTTTTAGTTACTTAGTTACAATTACATAATGATTAATTATGATCATTAAATATGAATGTTACGATGCTTTTAATAGTTTCATTTTGAGACTATATAAAGTGATGTATGTTTGTATTTGTAAGTAGACTGAAAAATATAAAAGGAGCATTTGTGCTTTCTTTAACCCATGACTAAATTTATTTGTGGCTAAGTTTATTTGCTATATATAAAAGAGCATTTGTACTTCTTTAGCGAATGGCTAAATTTATTTACAATTCTATGTAGTTTAAGTTGCATGTAGAATCATTCAAGCTCGATATGATCAATCTTGCTTGTGGAGTGATTCGAATCTCAAACAAGTGTTCTTGCATTGAGATATTTGATCAACAAGAATCATTCAAGCTAGACATGATCGATCTTGCTTGTGGAGTGATTCAAATCTCAAACAATGTTCTTGCCTTGAGATATTCGATCAACAAGGTAATCCGAATCTTACTTTCCTTGTAGTGATTTCCATATCAGGAGATCCAACATTGATTGAAAATAAACATGACATCGAAGACATTGGGCCCCAAGTAGACGCGTTTTCGAATTGTGAGGTTGATAATGATACGTAACGAACTAAAGCAGACAATATCTTATGAAACGTAGATATTATTTTTTAAAAGATCGCAAAAGTGGAAGGTAACGTCACAATAACGAAAGCTCTCCAGAAAAGGTAACAAAAAAAGGTATCACGAGAAAAGACATATAATGCGAACTTGTATTGTACGAAAACTACACGATATTTGTTAGATGTTACGGATCGGCTCGCGTGCCCGGAGCATCTTTTCATTAATAAGGCATTTGTGTGGGAGCAAATTAAAATTTAATACATGAATTAATGTATAAAAAAAATTAAAAATTTCAAATGCAAAAATAAAAATATTTTTTTATTAATTTAGACAAAAATATATTTAAATTCAAAACAACGATAAAGTCACACAAAGAGTTGACCAAAGAAGAAATAAGAAAGAGAGTGGAAAAAAACGATGTGTGTAATGGCAAAGGCGTTTTACCAAACCAAACAGCCACTCACAAACCCTATTCAACTTTCTCTCTTCTCAATCCTGTGGGTTTCATCTTGTTTCCAAATTTCCACCAACGCCGCTGCCTCTCAAAACCATGGGCGGTTTTCTGTCAACCCAATACCGCTATCCGCTCTCCCAAAACCGGCTGCCCCTTCTTCTATCTATATACCCTGTCTTTCACTTTCTCTCACTCGCACGATCCCATGAACCCACTGTTCTTCTCTCTCTCTCTAGAATAAGATTCTTCTGGTTTTGAGGGATTTCTGTTTCTGGGTTTGGTTCTATTTCTGGAATTTGTAACGGCGAATCGGAGGAATTTGGGTGTGGTTTTAATGGAAAGCGATAGTTTAGGAAGCGACGGTGGAGGCGGTGGCGGCGGCGGAGGAGGGATGTTTTCCGGGCTGAATTCGGCAATGTTGGGATTGGATTTACCTCTTCATCCACACCCCACGAATCCCCCGAATTCTCACCAATTACATCACGCTTCAATGGTGTCTTACGCCCCACAAAAGCCGCAACTCCAACAACAACCGCCGCCTACCGCCGTGAGATACCCTTACCCTGCGAAGCCCAAGCCGCAGCAGTCGAATCTCAGCGATGATGAGGAGCAGGGGTTCGCGGTGGAGGACGGCAACAGCGATGGAAAGAAGAAGATCTCCCCATGGCAGAGGATGAAATGGACGGACATGATGGTCCGGCTGTTAATCACGGCGGTGTTTTACATCGGCGATGAAGGTGGAACGGAGCAAGCGGACCACGCCGGCAAGAAAAAACCAGTGGGACTGCTGCAGAAGAAGGGGAAATGGAAATCGGTTTCCAGAGCGATGATGGAGAAGGGATTTTACGTTTCGCCACAGCAATGCGAAGACAAATTCAACGATTTAAACAAGAGATATAAACGAGTTAACGACATTTTGGGGAAGGGAACCGCTTGCAGAGTCGTCGAGAATCAAACGCTATTGGATTCGATGGAATTAACACCAAAAACGAAGGAAGAAGTTCGAAAATTACTCAATTCTAAACATCTATTCTTCAGAGAAATGTGCGCTTACCACAACACTTGCCGTCACAGCACTGGCAACAACGGCGGAGGAGGCGCCCATCCTTCTCCGGACACTGCAGCAGAACCACCCTCCCACCTTCAACAACACCAACACCAACAACAACAACAACAACAACGATGCTTCCACGCGACGGAGAGCGCCGCTGCCGCGGCGACAGTAGGAGCGGACGGAGATGACGAAGATGAGGACGACGAAGAAGAGGAATCGGAGGAAGATGAGGATGACGAGGAGGAGGAAATTGAAGGAACTTCGAGAGGTCACGAAGAGGAGGATGAGACGGAATCGAGGAAGCGAGCGAGGAAAGGGGGGATTGCAGTGGCGGCGATGCAGCAATTGAATGCAGAGGTGATCGGAGTTCTGCAGGACGGGGGGAGGAGTCCGTGGGAGAAGAAGCAGTGGATGAAGAGCCGGTTGATTCAGCTTGAAGAGCAACAGGTGAACTACCAATCGCAGGCGTTCGAGCTGGAGAAGCAGCGGCTGAAATGGCTGAAGTTCAGGAGCAAGAAGGAGAGGGATATGGAGAGGGCGAAGCTGGAGAACGAGAAGAGAAGGCTGGAGACGGAGAGGATGGTGCTAATGGTGAAGCAGAAGGAGTTGGATTGGATGGATATGCACCATTATCAGCAGCAGCAGCATTCCTCCAATAAGCGAGGCGATCCATCGTCGATTACAGGTTGAAGACGATGAAGAAAGGGGATTAGGGTTAGGGCTTCAAAATCAGGGGATGTAAATTTACTAATTTTAGAACAAACTGTATAATCAATCACCCTTAGTTTTGTTCTCATGATTTATTTTTTAATAATTTATTTTGCTTTCAATATTATTTAAAAATATGAATTATTTAACTATCCATTTCTCGCGTTTGGTGGTCTGGAGACTTCGGCTCGAGTGAGTGCAAAAGCTTATATGCATTCACAGACCATTCACAGACCAAGCAGACAGCCGAGTTCGCATCTATAGGTCTCAGTTATAGGCACCTCTTAGCTACACCCAAATGATCTGAGTTTTTAATAATTTATAAATGTCCGAGCTAAACCTATTGATAGCCGAGGTGAAATTTTAGCTTCCGACTCTCGATTAAGTATACGAGCCTCTTTAAACAAAACTTATAGAATATGAAATAAAATATTTTATTCTTTTTTTATTTTTATTTAAATCAACAAAATTCCTCCGCTATTTTCGGTATTATTAATGGTTATCGGCCCATCTTGCCCGCCTAAGCCCAAAGAGAAACAAAATTTTGAATCTATTGGGCTCAAATCCAGCTGTCCAGCCCGATTAAAATAACTTTTTAAATATTTTAATTTTGTAATAATTTACAAGTTTTTTTTTAATTATTGTTATATTCCAATTATTAGTCAGATAATTGTGTAATTATGTTGAGGTTAATATATTGAAATAGTCTTAATTAAATTTCACCAAAAGGTATTAAATTTAATTCATTATGCATACCAAATATTTTTAATTTTAAGTTTATTTTGTCATTTCTGCTTTTTAGCTTTCATGTTTACTTTCTCTATTTTCTTTTTTTTTTTTCTTTTTTAATGAAATTTATTCATGCTGGTTAAAAAAAATCATTAAAACCCGCAATTATTTTATATGCTTTAAAACTTTTTAAATTATACATTTTTTTTATATTAAAAAAGAAATTTCAATTTTGAAGGTATTTTATTGATTAATAAATTTATGCCATATTGACGTAATTGTCCATAAACGGAAGAGTATCGACAATTTCCAAGGCTAAAGAAGGGTATTTCTGGAAATAGAAAAAGGCTAACGATCGTCACAGACCTCAATTACAAGGGCCCCACCATGTGGGAACGCGATTGAAATTTATCAGTAGTTAACGGAACCGTAAGAAGCCGTGACGACATACTCGTCAAAACTTGACGGCAGGGTTAGTTCCGTCAAATCATTTTCGTCTGAATTTGAAAACGCCCTCAAACGTTTCGCTCTCCTCCTCTAACGCCGTCGTTCGTTCCCGCTGGAGCTTGAACTCTAACCCTAACGTCCTCTAATGGCTTCCTGTGACGATGACTTCTCTCTCCTCAGCGACGATCACCACCACCACAACCACCATCAATCCACCACCAACCACCATCATGTTCCAAATCCTCAGCATATCCATCAATCCTACGTTCCTCACCGCTTCACGCCTCGATCGTCTTCTGTCCACCCACCGCCGCCTCCGCCACCTTCCGCTCAAGCGGCTCAGCCGATTCTCGCGCCGTCCGGCAGTCCGAAGAAGATCGGCGGGCGGATAGATAAGGAGGAGGAGGACGACGATGGGGAGGATTATGGCGATGCTACTTTCTGCTCCAGTTCATTTGATAACGGAGATCAGAATCGGATTGGTGTTGGTGTTGATGTTGATGTGCGAGTTGAGAAGAGGAAGGATCAGTCGGATGAGCTTGGGGAGGAAGGAGGTTCTTATAGTTACAAAAGAGCGAAGCCTTCGTCCAGTGGGGGAGAATACAGGAAGGATCGAGAGGAGTGGAGCGATGCGGCTATCTCGTGCCTTCTGGATGCGTATACGGAGAAATTTACGCAGCTGAATAGGGGGAATTTGAGAGGGAGGGATTGGGAGGAAGTGGCTGCAACTGTGAGTGAACGGTGCGAGAAGCAGAGCAAGAGCGTAGAGCAGTGTAAGAACAAAGTAGACAACTTAAAGAAGAGGTACAAGCTGGAGAGGCAAAGGATGAGTGACGGTGGCATTTCGATCAGCCACTGGCCTTGGTTTAAGCAGATGGAGCAAATTGTTGGAAATTCTTTGACGATGAAGGTTGTGTCTGACGAAGATCGAAGTGTCGGCTCATCGGCGACTACTCCGAGGATATCAAAGAGGTTCTACTCCTTCCCGCCTCTTTCTTCCCGTTGTATAGCATTCTACGACTATGATTTGGAGAACAAAACATGTTTTGAAATAATATGTTCTCTATGTTTTTTTTCTTTTGGATTCTGCTGATCATTAGTTCTTGATGTTTAGTTTAATCTTCTATTTGCATATCAACTCTGCAAGAGACACAAGCTCTTTACATATTTTTGCTGTTGGGGATTGTTCTAACCGCCAATCCCACCGCTAGCCGATCTTGTCCTTTTTGGGCTTTTCTTTTTGAGCTTCTCCTTAGAGTTTTTAAAATAGGTCTGCTAGGGAAAGGTTTCCACGCCCTTATAAACAATGCTCGTTCATCTCCTCAACTGATGTGGTTGTAATTACGAATATATCTGCTCTTCTTTCATCCTCGGGACCCTGTACTTACTGGTCATGGCTCTGGGAGTGAAAGGAGCAGTTTGAAATTTTAAGTGCATTTCTTTGAAAACAGTGCTCTGGGAGTTCTTTACATATTTTTGCTGTTGGGGATTGTTCTAACCGTCCAAGCTCACCGCCGGTACATATTGTCCTTTTTGGACTTTTCCTTTAGAGCGTCCTCTCAAGTTTTTAAAAATAGGTCTGTTAGGGAGATGTTTCCACACCCTTATAAAGAATGCTCATTCATCTCCTCGTGGTTGTAATTACGAGTATATCTGCTATTCTTTCATCCTCGGGATCCTGTATTTACTGGTCATGGCTCTGGGAGTGAAAGGAGCAGTTTGAAATTTCAAGTGCATTTCTTTGAAAACAGTGCTCAGATCATACTGGATCAAGATCGTTCAAGAATTGCAGCAAATGTTTAGAATTTTTAACTTGTCCGAAAACATTAATAGCAGCAAAGACACTTTCATATGTCTAGTGATGGCTTTTTCTCGAAAAATCGATTTATACGGTATCTCTAGAACTTCCATCTGTTGTTTAATCTCTTCGGTTTTATTGGTCATGTGTTTGCAGTTTGCAGGTGTGTTGATGAACTCATAATTTGTTGTTCGGCCTGGCTATTGTAATGTAGGTTTATGATGTGAAAATGAAACTGGTTAGTCTTGCTTTTGGAAGCAGATTTCAGTTTCATTTGCTTGACATATTTTCACCCAATAGTGTATTTTATCGTGTTCTAAGCTGAGTGAAGTCTGGAGTCACTTGGTTTAAATGAACATATAAGAAACAAATATCTGGATATGCCTAATGAACTGCTAACAATAAGTTGGTTTTTCAATTTTCTCTTGAGTTTGATTCTTATAATTTCATGTTTCTAGCTTCCTCCAAACGGAGGACATTTTGTGTTAGTTATGTTCATGAGGTTAACAACTAATTAGTTGTTGTTTTCGCAATCCACCTCGCAGGTACGTTATTCCCGCACCCAATACTACTGGGCACATGAATAATCTAAAACCCAAATCAGTTTCCAGTCCAAGGTGGCGAAGAGTTGTCTTTAAAATAAGTGGTACAGCTCTTACAGGGACTGGTCCTAACAACATCGACCCGAAGGTTATTAGAATTTTCTTGTTAGCTTCTTAGGAGTTATAACATTATATCATTAGGATGGATAGTTGCAAGCATCAAGTTTGTTTCTCTGATGATTAGGTTACAATGGCAATTGCTAGAGAAGTTGTAATAGCTTGTCGTCTGGGTGTGGAGGTACTGATTATTGCGTTTAACCACTTTTTGTTGCATCTTTCCATTTATTCACGTCGAGTATATTGTTTATTATAATATTACAGGTGGCAATCGTTGTTGGAGGTCGTAACGTCTTTTGTGGAGATTCTTGGGTGACTGCAACAGGTTTAGATAGATGTACAGCATACCAAATTGGGTACGTTTTCACTCACCACCTTGGCGATACTAAATCTTCTTTCCCATTACTTAATAGGCTGTTTTGATATTTTACATTGATTTGTTCATATTGTACCTCTCCTAAACAAGATAACATATAGGTACTAAAATCAGTGTTTTATGTGACATTTTGGAAAATTTAGAGGTTTGTTATCTAGAATATGAAGCAAGAGGCTTTTCCACAAATGCTAGTGATATGGGAAGTGTAATTTTTACCGGAATAAGATATCTCTTATTTCACTACTGTTCACCAGTATAACCCTATCTTTAAAGGGAGAGAAAATAGGTTAAATAAAGTAAAAACCCGAGCGGTGACAAAAGAAAAAAAAAACAAAAAACAAAGAAGGAATCGACAATAAAGGAGATACACAATTACAAAGATGGAAAGATATTTGAGAAATTCTTCTGTTTTCAACATTCCCTTCAAACTGGATTGTATATGTTCATTAGATCCAGCTCGGGCTCTAGGACGTATCGGATATGAAGATCAAGTCAGTTTTGCCATTTCGCAAGGTTCACATTGAAAAACCAGAGAACTTTTACTAAAAGTATCTGGAAAAATTCTTCTCAAATACATATATTGGGATGGCCTAAATGTTGGTGCATTGCCAATCGTAGGATAAAAGTTCCTTTACTTGAGGCTAAATCCTACTATAGGATAAAAATTATCTTTAGAACTTTTATTGAAAAAAAGATTTATCCTACTGTCATAATTATCTTTAGAAGAAGAAGAAGAAGAGAAAAAAAAAAAGGATTTAGTAACGGCTAACTTCTTTACTTGAGGCTTGGGGATATTCAGGATATAGTGAACCCAAATATTCTTTAGCATTGCCAATCGTCTTCCCCAAATCCAAATCTTGAAAAATACACCCATGTGAGTAGAAGGTTGTAATGCATTTTTTTCGTAATTGCTAGTTTGCTTATTGAAAGAAGATTGCATTTAAGGTTAGGAACATGCAGAACATTTTCTAAGATAAGATCTTTAGAGATAAAAACATTCAAGTTCCTAATCCTTTTGAATAAGTGTCACAAAAATTTCACATCCTTTTGAATAAGTTCCTAATCCTCTTGAATAGGATCTCCGATTCTCTGTTGCAACTTTTACCACTATATCCTTGAATTCTAAAGTTTCTAAAGCTTGAAAGTTGTCACACTAGGTCTATTGATGTTAAAGTTGTACGAAGATGTTGGAACATATCATATGTTCTTTGTTGGCTGGATAAGTGCTGCTAGTGGTAGCTTAAGAAATGCTATGCCATTTAATTTAGGATAGGTTTATGTATATCCTGACCTTAATTTGTTGGTAAAACCTACTCGATAAACATCACATCGTGTTACTATGTGCATGACTGATGTTGACGTGTTGAATACCATTTATACAGTATGATGGCTACTGTGATGAATTCAATACTTCTCCAGTCAGCAATAGAGAATATGGGAGTCCAGACTCGTGTCCAATCTGCATTTATGCTTCATGAGGTTGCTGAACCATACAGTAGGCAACGTGCTATAAGGCATCTTGAGAAAGGCAGAGTAGTTATATTTGGTGGCATTGGCACTGGCACTGGCAATCCCCTATTTTCCACTGATACAGCTGCAGCTCTTCGAGCTTCTGAGAGTATATTACCCTCTGCCTACCATCCTCTCTTTTAGCTTTGTTGTTGCAGCATCATATGCTAATCTTTAGGATTTTGAATGCTTACGTAGTTTTACTTGCCTTTCTCTCTTAGTTCATGCCGAGGCAGTTCTTAAAGGTACCAATGCTGATGGGGTGTATGACTGCAGTTCGCAAGACAACAATTTTACATTCAAGCACATCTCTTTCAGAGAGTTGGCCTCAAGAGGTGCCACAAGCATGGACGTGACTGCATTAACTTTCTGCGAAGAGAACAACATTCCCGGTACGTTTTCTTGTTTATATATTATTAATTTAGTATTCAGGGAAAATCTTTTCAACTAATGCATTCAATTCTAGTTTATTTTACGATACCAATTCCATACAGCGACAGGCAGAAAATTCTGGTTTGATCTCATAACACTAAATACAAGTTTGGACGTTTTTTTATCCATGAGGTAGAGCAAGTACTAGAAACTAGATTATAACACGATACTGGTCGAATCCTCCTTCAATGCTTAGGAGTTCAGTTTTTTCCTGTTTATTGCGTTGCTGTTTAAGAATCAGATAAAATCCAACCCAATTTTATTTTTACAGTCGTCGTCTTTAATCTTCTCGAGCCTGAAAATATCTCAAAAGCATTGTGCGGAGACCAAGTGGGTACACTGATTGATCAAAACGGAAGAATTAGCTAGTGTCCGTGATTCTTAAATTTTTAGTATTAGGTATGTCGTGTCGAGTCCGTAGAGTGTTCGGTTGGCTCGTTTAAGAAATGGTAGCTGCCCTCTCAGCTTCTGGGGTCGTCTTTCCTGGCTAGGATTTGGAGTGTTTGCTATGTTACTTGCTTAGTAACTCAGTGTGAAAGTAGAGTAGATTCTGATTACTAATCTGAAGATCTGATTCTTGGTGTGGTGCCAAAATTTCTTCTGCATTTGTATCTATATTTGTATGTATACTATTATTGGTTCAGTGGAAGGGTAAGCTAAGAAAATGGATGGGGATGGCAGATTTGAAGTGTATTGGTATGTAAACTTGTCATGTAATGTATGTGAAGTGTTTGTAAGTTGAACGTTTTCAATGTATGATTCAAACACAGCCTTTTGCTGTTTTTCATAATGTATAAAATACCAAGTGTGTTGCAGAAGTGTGCTGTTACAAAAATATTTCTTTTATTTTTTCTCATCCCTACTCTCCATAGTAAGATCAGGGTCGTTATGTAATCTCTTAATGATATAATACATTTGCATTAACGAATCTTGTCTTTTGTAGCCATTGCTTCCATAGTTGTGGAATCTTTGCTTGTGTAGCATCATGTTCATCGTGTCGACATCAAAAACTGGTGTAAGAAGCTAGCGAGTTAATTTTCTACATCGTCCTAAGGTTTAACCTTAGTATATGATATTTTTTTAAAGCTTATTTCCACGAATCAAAATATACTAAACTTATGTTAATCTTATTAATAAATTGTTGCTATGTTCTTTAAGTTATTGTTTTATTAACATATTTTGTGTGGGTGGGTGAGTGAATTAAATGGTTAAAGAGACAAAAATAGTAAATTGGAGTATTTTCTAAGCTTAGAGTTATTGCATATTTAAAGTCAAATAAATATTAACAAATGAACCAAAATAATTTAAAAGAAAGCCCAATTTTTAAGGCTATATTTATTTTTGGTTTAAATTCATAACAAAATTTTTTTTTAAAAAATAATCAAACATGTTTCTCACAAGCGGGAACGTCTAACTCCCCATCTCATGTAATAACAACTCAAGTTCATCACCGGTAGATATTGTTTGTTTTGACTCATTACGTATCGGAGTCAACCTCACGATTTTAAAACGCGTCTACTAAGAAGAAGTTTTCACACCCTTTAAAAAATGTTTCGTTTTCTCTCCAACCAACGTGGGATCTGTGACATCTCACAATCCACCTCTTTGCAAGCTAGTATTCTCGCTGGCGCACTGACTGGTCCTCCACCTCATTGAAAGCTAGTTCACACCCTTTAAGAAATGTTTCGTTTTCTCTCGAACCAACGTGGGAACTGTGACAACTCACAATCCACCTCTTTGAAAGCTAGTATTCTCACTGGCACACTGACCGGTCCTGACTTAAAATGGATTACAAAAGAATTACAAAAAATCCAATATATATGATTTTGATTGCACTCCCAAACTTATGGGAAGAAAACCAAATTAATTAGGTTAATAACAGGTTAGGGGAAGATCAACAAATCTTTCCCACTGCAGCTTGGATCAAACATACGTTAATCAAAGTTTTACAATAAACACAAAAGCATACATTCTAATAAATACCACAAATTTGCATGAGAAAATGCATACACACCATTAATTTAAACTAAGCATATCATCTTAATCAACAATCCACCTGAAAATTCTAGCTACACCATACCATCTTCTGTGGTTCCAAGGGAAGGCGAAAGCGAATTACGTGATTCGTCGTAATCTTCTCCGAGCGGGGATTGCTCGACCCTGATATCTTCGATCATCTTTGCCACTTCTACCATCGTCGGTCTCTTCTCAGGCTGAGGAAGAACGCAAGCCAACCCAACATGAAGCATTGACACAAGCTCCTCCTCAATGTTCTTGTACCGTAATAGCTCGGGATCAAACACCTCAGCCGTCCACTCTTCTTTCACCACGGATCGAACCCAATTCGGGAGATCTACTGCTTGCTCTTGCTCGTCGTTTCGTGAGTTCAAAGGCGATGGGTAAAGCGATGGTGCACGTCCGGTCAAGACTTCTAGCATCAAGACACCAAAGCTATAGACATCTGCCTTTTGAGAGAGTCGTTTTGTCTCGTCCTGTTCCGGGGCCTTGTAGCCTCCCAACCTAGCAATGGCGTGGACAGGATTGAGGAGGAGAGACAACCCAAAATCAGAAATGCAAGCAACTCCATTTTTGTCAAGAAGAACGTTAGAAGACTTGACATTGCCATGGGGGATCTTTGAAGCACTGTATTCTCCATGGATTCTTGCTAGACCACGAGCAGCACCCAAAAGCAAACTGATTCTCGTCGTCCAATCCAATGGAATCCTTCCTGGACCTCGATTACCTGATTCAATCAGCAAAAACAACAACAAAACCAGAAAAATCAGCAAAAATTTTCATTGGGGAATTTCATCGAACAGTTTGTAAGCATGCTCAAAAGCTTCAACAGAACCAACCATGGAGAAGAGAATGCAAGCTTCCATTAGGAAGATAATCGTAAACCAGAAGCTTTTCTTCTTTAGCATAGTAAAAAGCTCTCAATCTAACGATATTTTGATGTTTCAGCTTTCCAATCACATCCATGTACTGTTCAAAATCCTTCCTCGGACATGGATTTGCATCCTTCAATCTCTTCACCGCCACTGTACAACCGTCGTCGAGTACCGCCCTGTATACCGTCCCCAAGCTTCCTTTTCCGAGCATCTCCGCCGAAGCTCTCAGCAAATCTTCAAGCTCGAATTGCTTCTTCCAATCGAAGAACACCAGTTTGCTTCTATCTGTAGCGTTAGTACTGTCACTGTCGCCACCGCCATTGGCGTAGACTCTTTTCTCGCTTCCGTAGCTACTTCCGCTCTTTCTTCTCTTCCCATTGTCGCTTCCCGCCATGGAACTCGAGCTCCGGTCACGAGCGCAGTAATACGCGACGACGAAGGAGATAATCACGAGCAACGCAACGCAGTTTGCGATCACAATCGCAACAATCGCGCCAGGGCTGAGCCCTTTTCGCGATTCCTTAATGTTCGGACTGATATTAGGGTTTTTCGGTATTGAGATTGGATTTGATGGTACCGTTCTGCCGGAATCCGACGCCGGCGGTGAACTAGTAACTGAACAGATCGGTAAAGGACTCGATCCACAGACCCCTTCGTTACCAGCGAAACTCTCCTCGCCGAATTTCTTCACCATCCCGTCAGGTAACCGTCCGTACAGTTCATTGTTGGTTAAATTAACTTCAGTAAGATTCACAAGCGAAACAGAGAGATCGGGAACCGTACCGGAGAGGACATTATTCTGCAAACGGAGAGTAAGAAGTCGAGACAATTTCGAGAGATCCTCAGGAATTCCGCCGCGAATGTTGTTATCAGACAAATCCAGTCGGAGAAGTCGTCTAAGAGACGAGAATCCCGGCGGAATCTCGCCGGAGAAGTCATTGCCAGAGAGATACAACAGCTTGAGATTCGTACAGTTCACAATCGGCGAAATGGTTCCGTTCAAACGGTTGTCATGGAGGTCGAGTACACGGAGCTGATCGAGCGGCGCTAAAGACTCAATGGGGCCACGCAAGTTCATAGAAGGAAGAGAAAGAGCGATAACGCGGCCATTAACAGAGCACTGAACTCCCCGCCATGAAGAACCACAAGCATCAGAACCAGTCCAGTTTCCGAGGAGGCCGCCATGGGAATCAGCTTGAAGACGAAAGCGAATCAGAGCAGAAGTATCATCTAAACAGAGAGAAGGTGAAATCAAAAGGGTAATGCAGAGAAGAAAAGCTATGGCGGAACTGAAAATCTTCACCTCCATCTTCTCCTTCACCATCATCGTCACCATCGAAGGATTTGGGGCCTGAAATGGGTTTGTAGAAAGAATTGAAGGAACCCAAATGGAAAAAAAGCAGAGGAATATCGTGTTGATTTGTCTCTGTCTGAGGAAGAAGAAGAAGGTTACAGAGACAGAGAAACAGAATCTGTTTGATCCGCCAATCAATTCACAAACAGAGAAAGGGAAATGGGGGAATGATTAAAGAATGTGTTTGAGAATTGATTAATTAAGAACAGAGATTATGATCATAAAAAAATTAAGGGGCTGATTGAAACTGAGAGAGGGAATGATTTTAAAATTTTATTTTCTTCCCAAGAAGGAGGAAGAAGAAGAAGAGTTGTTTGAATCATTGCTGTCTTCCACTCCTCACGTAATGAAATGAGTGAAGAATGGGAATTTGTTTCCTTTTTTTCTTTTTCTTTTCAATTTTTTAAATTAATTTATTCCACCTCGTTCATCCAAACTTCGAATTACAAAATGAGGCATGAACTGATACACGGACGCTGAGAAGTTCGATAGAGTTTTTCTTTCAAATACATGGACGCTGACACGATCAGACTGACACTCCGAGACGACCCTCCTGTGTTGTCGCAGGTCAAGATAGAAAAGTGTCATGATATAATCCGGGAAGATAGTAGGTCGTCCTAATATTTTTTACATCATAAATAATATTTATAAAAAAAAAAAAGATTTTTTTTTTTTTTCCTGACAAACTACTCTTACCTAAAGTAATGTTTTATCAGCTTTATTGCCTTTTGTAGGGCCCAGTATATCACATTTCTTTTAAGTTAATAAATTAATTTTTTACCATTTTATTTCAATTGGTAAAATATTTACTTTACAATGATATTTCTATCTTCAATTCACTTTATTTATTTACCTTTTTTTAGTATATTTAAATTCTTCACACAAACCCATGAACAATTTGAATGTGAAGTCAAAGTCAAATGGAGTTTTTATTTTAATTATATATATATATATATATATATATATAATCTAAAAATAAACTTAATGTGAACCTAAATATTTTTGTTCATTTTTGAGTATTTAAATCTTTATATGTTTAAATTTGAAATAATTTAATTTATATTGTTAAAAACGATGGAAGTTTCATATTTTTAAATCATAGTTACAAAGAGAATAAATAAATTAGGGAACCGGATAAATTCTATTATCCGTGGTAAAAATAAATAAAGGAATTTAAATTAATATAATTTCTAAAGCGCTTTTTATTACTAATAAACAAAAAAAAATGATAATCTAACTTAATTCAAAATTTTATATTAAACTAAATGCACTTTATTAGTTTAATTACTAACTAAGTCTCATATATGATTAGATAAACTTTCCAACCCATTTTACAATTTAACATTATTATTTTTTATTAAATTAAAATTTTGAATTTTTATGTCTAAATTACAAATTTAGCCTCAAATTTTTTATTTTATTTTTTTAATTTATCATATACAAAACTAGAAATTTAAGTTTTATTAGATTTAAAATTTAAATTTTTATCTAATAATTTTTAAAAATTATGAAATTATCAATAATTTATTATAAAAAAAAATAAAATTTTGTTTTTAAATTTGAGAGATGGAGA